TCTTTCCGCCGTGTCCTTAAAATATGGCTATTCCACCTGGCCGGTTTGGACTGAAGGGGTTTTAGAGGGGACTTTAATGGTTTTTATACTTTTATTGGGTATTTTTTAAAAAATTGAACTTTGTGTGTTTTATTGTTGTGAGCCGCCCTGAGTCCTTTTGGAGATAGGGTGGCATATAAGTCTAAATAATAAATAAATAATAAATAAATAAAATAATCCCTTTATTTAATGATGAATGTCTGGAGATGAAACCAAACATTCTCAATGTTTGTTCTTGAGTGGAAACTAGGCTGAATAACTTTCAGAGTTAATCAGGCCATTGGGTTCTAAAAGGCCTACAGCGTAGTGAGGACAGACAAGAACAGTACTAGCCATCTTAGATATCAAAGGTCTCAAAGTATACCCTGTTTCCCCCAAAATAAGACATCCCCTGATAATAAGCCCAATCGGGCTTTTGAGCACATGGAAATAAGGCCAAGCACTTATTTCAGGGTTCAAAAAAATATAAGACGGGGTCTTATTTTTGGGGAAACATGGTAGTTGAGATGGACTTTCAGTCTAATCCTTGACAAAACAGTCCTTCTATTTATCTTGGAGGACACCCATACCCAAATAACTGAGAAATCTAAAATCCTCTTGGTGAAAATCCAGCAGAAGAGAGAGAAGACCATTCTTTCTCTTTCCTTCTGGGGGGGAAAAGAGAAATAGTTTACACTATCTCCACGGTTGGTATAAGGTCCTTTCCAAGGCTATCTGGCTAACCCCTGATGGAGGCTGAATGATGAACCAGAATGGACCTTTGGAATGAATGAACAAAACAATACTACTTTCTTTTTCTCCCTCCCTCCCCATCTCAATCTTTCTCTCATAAGTCAGTGGGAAGACAGCCAGTAAAAGTTTGGCTCACACTTTCAAATTGTGATGTTTGGAAGAAGTACGTCCTGACTAGCCATTTCAATAATTGCAAAAATCCCCATGTTCAGAAAAGGAACTCCAGGAAAACTTCATGATTCCCTCCCCCCCCACTCCCCACCAAGTGAGTTGGCTTCTGATGATCTGATTAAGTAACTCTCAAATCACTGATTTAATATTTGTCCCATTAAAGTCCTGGGGAGAGAATTCCAGCCAAACATTTAGACCTCCCTTGCAAAAGGGAGACTAAGTGTAACTCAAGCTTGTATACCTGATTGGTTGCACTCTGTAGAGTAGGAGAATTGGAACTGTAGAAAGCCCACCAAGAGAGAATCATAAATTATTCATCAGCAGCCATTTTATGTACACAAGTTACAATTGGAGCAATGCAACACGTATCCGTTTCATCAAGTAAATATGTAAGTTCACTTCAAACAGCAGTCAATTAATCACACACACACACACGTGTATATATATATATATATATATCAGTGAAATAGCAATGGCCTTGGTGGTCTACTGTTGAGGCAAAGCATAAAGAATTTTCACTCTTAAAGAAGCCACACTGTCTGGTTAAATGAACTGTAGAAGAAGCTAATGTCAGTCTTACCAGACAGGAAACCTGGCCTGATAAAGTAATGCTACTTTATTGTAGAGCTACATTAAAAGAATGTTGCAAGTCTAAACACCCAGTTCTCTCACTGTCACCTTTGCAGTCTGAGAACTTAGGGGGAGGCCCTTCTGAAACTCTTGCCCCGCCCACTATGCAAATGTGGGCCGTGCTACCTCTTATCCTATTGTTCTCTCAGCATCATCTCTTCTTCCTGTCTCCAATGTCATTCCCAGCTATCATTAGAGTTAATAAAAAGAGTATACGATTTGCTTGTCCTCTCAGAAAATTACCACTTTGATATAGAAGGAAGTTCAATCAATGTCAAGAAATAGAGGAAATTTAAGGAAAAATTGTTCCTTGTTAAGGAAAAATTACTGCTAAGGTAAGACTGCCCCAGAACAGTTCTAATAACGGCAAATAAAGTTATAACCAGCAATAGACCAGCCAGCAAATGAAATTTCAACTGTTTAAGTTGCCAAAGAAGTGACATTTGAAGAGCTAATAGTTATACATCAACAACTGGAAACAGCTGTATAACAATAAATATGAAACAGGGTTATATTTCCTAGGAACTAGAAAAAAACTGGTAAATATCTCTGTGCCAAAGAATGGAAAACCAAGAGAATGCTATATGCAAATTATCAATTTATCTCATACAGTGCTTGCCTTCTGCAAAGTTTTCCTTCAGATCTTTCACAGAAGAATAAATGAAAAAGCAGTATTTATTAATGGCAGAAGAACAAGATCAGAAAACTAACTGAAGAGCATGTAGAGAAGGATAATTCAAGAAGAATTACCTTTGTTTTCTTGACTATAAGAAGGGCTATTATTCTGTGGATCACAACAGAATGTGGAATTCGTTACAATTAATGGTTTTGCCAGAATACTTGATTATTCTTCTGAATAATATTTTCAATAATCAATAAATTATTATAAAAACTGAGTTTGAAGAAATAGAAAAGTTCCAAAAGGAAAAGGGAGTGAACCAAGGATACACATTGTTAGTAGGAAAAAGAACTGAAGATAGAAATATTAATCATTTCAGAGAGGCAGAGACTATCATTAGTTAAATGAAAGTAAATACGACTTAGAAGAGGTTTTTTTGAAAGTTAAAAAGTGAAAGTGAAAATTCTGTGTTAATTTTAAATAGTTAAAAGATATTGTTGACCAATATGTTTACCGAACTTATGGTTCACAACAAAGAAATTAAGCTGGTACATCATTTTGTTTCCTAGGCTCAAAAATAGATAGATGAACCACATGCTGGAAAAATAAAGAGAAATATTAATGACAATTTTAGAAAGCATTACAAAGGTTAAAGATGCTTCTGTGACAGCAGGGAGGAGAATAGTTTAGCAGAAGGCTTTCTTAGTGGCATTGCATAGCTGTGAAAGACTGACATTTAGAAAAAATAAAAAAGATGATTGACAATTTAGCAGTATGGATCTGGAGGTACAGTAGTTACTAAGAGTACTATAGCCTGAAAGAACAAGCTAATTCAATTGTGGACTAAATAAATTCCTCCTGTAAAGTAATGATACTGAAGCAGAAACTTGAAAACATTGATCACCTGATACGAATGAACTTTGAAAACGAACTAGAAACATCTTGGAGCTATGGTGTTTGGGAACCATATGCAGTTTGTGACCTTAAATATGGATAAAGAATTCAAGTTGATACTGATACTCTGATGATGTTATGTATTATTTTTTTCTTATTTTGCCTCCCATCTCGCTTTGAATCAACTCTGGGCAGCTTGCAACATTAAACATTACCTAGTAAATGAAAAGTCTGAAAGAACCCAGCTCAGAGAGCACCAAGGAGGCCACAAGTCAAACTTCATTCAACAAGAGACCAAGGTTTGATGGTGAAGACTGACCCTCTAGAGCAGGGGTCTCCAACCTTGGCAACTTTACGACTTGTGGACTTCAACTCCCAGAATTCCTCAGCCAGCGTGCTGAGGAAGAGAGGTGACTTGGGGTCCAAGTTGGATAAAATGGTCAATTTGGATAGGGGATTTTAGGAGGATGAATGTGGGACTAGTTAGAAAAACTACCAATCAAATAGTCAGGTCATCACACATTGGTGATATACTATAGATGGGAAAAGGGAGATAGCCCAGGCTTGGCAAGAAGCCAAAGAGGCTGCAGGAAGTTGAGGGAGGAATAGTGACAGGAAAATGACATAATTGTGGTTGGCCATTTCAGAGGAAGAGGGACAAGCAATTTACTGTCCCACTTCTTGTCCTGATACCTCATTCTGTGGTGCTAGATGCTGAATTGTTGGCACCCTTATCCCCAGTCTGATCTGCTAAACACCAGCCCTGTCTGCTCTCCTCCATGATCTAGCTCAGGGGTCAGCAACCTGCAGCTCTGGAGCTGCATGTGGCTCTTTCACCCATCTGCTGCGGCTCCGTGTCAACTCAAAATATGTGTCTCAACCACCCGCCGGCACACGATTTATTGAGCTTTTCAACCCCTGGTAGGCCAACCCTGGATAAATCCAAGAAAAGTTTCAGAAGAAAACAGAACATCTAATTCAACTACGTATGCTAGTTTTGTGGCCGCTCAAGAAATAGTCAGGCATGGGAAGGGTTTTGTGGCTCCCGGTGTTTTATTTTCTGTGGCAAACGGGTCTAAATGGCTCTTTGAGTGTTTTAAGGTTGCAGATCCCTGATCTAGCTGGTGTATGTGTGGGGAGGCAGATCTGGAATATATTATTGAGACCTGACTGGGTAAGGAAGAGTTTCCTTGTCAACAATTTGTCCTACTTAAGATTTAGGTGTTGCAGCGACTTTGAGGCTATAAGTGGTTGGTTCTTCCAGGAAACATGAGTAATGAGCAAGTAATGCAAGTAACTGTTTGCATTTGACGCTGGGTATTAGATCAAGCCCAGTGCCTCTGGTGTTCCGTAAAATGTAAAACCAAAAACAAGAGTATAGGGCTAAAGATTCAGGGGGAAAGGAGTTGCGATTTTTGAAAGAAATGTCTAAAGTGCACCCCACCCCCACTCAAGTTGATTATAAATCTTGAAAGGTAAAGTTACAAGTTCACGCCTAACCACTTCCATATAGGGCTGGCAAAAATTCCTGTCTGAAACCCTAGGGAGATGCAGCTAATCAGGAAACATAGAACATAGGTCAACAATATGCCTTGCTACAAATCTGCTTCCTATGATTTATATTACATGTTAAGTGCAATTGTTATCTCACAAAATTTGGGCAATCTTTCTTGATCAAGCAGCACATTCCTTCACAGGCAGTCACTGGGAAGCAGTGTAGTGGCTGGGATCAGAGGCAAAAGTGAGTTTGAATTCACACTGCCCAATATTCTGGAATAAGTTCCTAGCATTCCAATCGAAGCATTTGATCTGTCAGTTGCAAATCACTTGTAGAGTCTTACTCACACCTGCCAATTCCTGAATCATGGCAAATGACTAAACGGAAGTACGGCCAAGAAAGTGCACAAAAACCAAATTATAAATTACCCTTTTTATTGAATATCAATAAATTGTATATAATTATATATAAAAAGTATTTTTTTTAATTCAGTATAAAATTGTGGCACAAAAATATATAAATACCAGTGTACCTTTGAAATGTAAACATACCCTTTTGTTTTTTGTTGTTGTTGATGTGGAAACAATGTACAATAGAAATGCATTCAGGAGGCACCTGTCAATAACCTTAAGTAGCTCTTTTGGCACACACCTGTCAATGGGGCAGCCTTCCCTGCCCAGGCGGCTATTGAACCGCCTGACAAGTGCCTGCTATTAGTCACAGTTCTTTTGAAAAAAAGCAGTTGTTAAAAGAAGTCATATTAACAGGTGCTTGAGTGCATAGCTGCTCGTGTAAACAGGAGCCTTGCTTTGAATGGCTACCCAGTGCCTTCTGCAGACATAAGTCTTTGAAGCATTGCGAATTATCCCTCTGCTGACCCAGAACTAATGAAATACTGTATCCCTGCATAGCTGCACTAAGGAGAGTTTGAGATGGTGGGGAGGCGTTAACACTTGGCTTTCTGCCCTTTGTTTAGAGGCATATCAATTCAGGGTCATGAATTACTGTGAATCTATTATTCTAGTCATCTTTTTTTAAAGGATCAAAACGAAAGACTGGTCTTTCAGGCAAGGTAGGCACGAGATTCGGAATATTTTTCCCATTTGTAAAATGTTAGTGAATGCTATTAACTCAGATGGCTTTGAAGAAGCTGGAAACAATTCTGAGGGGAGAGGACTCAGCGGGTGTTAGATATGAAAGCGGGCATGATTAGTGGCAGTAAACTTTTTGAGTACCAGATGCAGGGGGCAGGAAAAAGAGGTAATCGTTATCCTTATAATCTGCCTACAAGTTCCCGAAGGATATATCTGATCCCAGTTGAGCAGCTCAACAAGATGTTTTTAGCTATATGTCAGTTTTTGGAGAAGCTGTTCCCGTATTGGTACCCTGCAGAGTGTGGGCTCTAACATACTGAATTCCCTGATAAAAAATTCCGTATTTCTAAAAATTCTGGGGACATATATCCAACCCATTTGGATAGCACCAGGTTTTAGAACCTCGTTTTAAAATATCATCCCATGTTGTTTGGCAACCCATCATTTCCGATGAAGCAATGATCATGCATGGGCTTGAATCAAGAAGCATTTTGCCACCACGAGGGCCAGGGAATGGAATACAAAGGCAAATCAGGTTTGAAAAATTCTCTTGAAGACAAAGAGTGAAAGAAGCATTGTGTATGATGCTTTAAGGCCTGAAGCAGCTGGAAACAACCAGATTTCAATATAAGCTGTTTGTGGCAGCTCAGAACTATTTTCCTAGGGACACTAGTTACAATATATGGCTTTGCACGGAGGAGTCCATGGGATTCAACGGGTTCCAATGCAGCCTGTTTCTTCATGTTTGTGGAGAAGTGACATGCGAGAGAAAGTCCGGGAGCAAGTTTTACACTGATACTTCTTAACATCTGAATGGGTCTGCAGGTGAGCACGGAGATTGGAGCGGTCAGCAAAGGCCCGGCTACAGTGTGTGCAGGAAAATGGCTTTTCCCCTAGAAAGATAAAAGGAGAAAAAAGGATCATCAGCCTGAATCTTGACAAAACATGTGACAGAAGTAAAAAAAAAAAGAAAAAAAGTCACAGTTTATATCACTTTCCCAATCTTTCACTACTATTAGGTAAAAGAGAAGTGTTTATAGAATAGAATTTTTATTGGCCAAGTTTGATTGGACACACAAGGAATTTGACTTGGTGCATATGCTCTCAGTGTACATAAAAAGGCAAGATACATTCGTCAAGAATCATGGAAATCCAAGATTCATCCCAGGTTTAAGCAAATCTCTAGAGCATAATTCACAGTTTGGAAATAAATTTTGCTTGAATCACCCAATATATACCGTAAATGGTTTTGTATTCAAGACATTAGGCCAGGTTTAAATCAGGCAGATGCTGGATTCCGAAATAAAGGGTTAAAAACCAAGTCTTCTTAGGCTCCCTATTTCAAAGGGTCAAAGAGCAGGGCCTGAATTTTGAGGCTGGATTGTGCTTATCAAGGGTGTCCTTAAAAAGCCAAGGAAAGTAGTCTGTTCTTGGATGGGAGACCACCAAGTAATTCCTATGCTAGGTTGTGGTCCCTTCCCCAATTCTTGCCACAATAATATGTCCAAGTTACCAACAAAAATCCACCTGGAATCAGGAAGCTTTTACTTTTATTCTAATGGAGCTTGGTTCAACGTGAGCATCCAAGATCCTAGGCATATTTATCTGGAGAATAACATTCTTGGATACCAGAGATAATAATACATGTATTGCACTGGTCTACATATAATAAAGAGCTCATAGCATGGTACAAAATGCCCTCTTCTGCCAACTTAGTGCAGCAAAAGCTGAAACATTTAATTGTATAACTATATCCTTCTCAGGTTTTCTTCCGCTCTCCCCCTCCCTCCTTCAAGCCTCAACCAACTAAAGCAGGGTTGAATTCCTGGCAGGAAAATTCTTCTGGAGCTCACTTAACAGGCTGCTCGATTTGGAAAGCACAATTAAAAGTCTTTCTGGCTTCCTTCAGGCAGTCATCTTTAGGACTTTTAAAAAGGGTGTGAAATCAGCACTAAGTAACAATTAAAGGATCCTGCCCCCTCCACCCACCCAACACAAAAGCTGCTTGGGGGGAAAAGCATTGTAAATGTGATACTCCTTGGATTAAACACTCAAAAAGCCGCAGCTGTGGAATCTGGTGTTCAGCCTGGGGCGTTACAGTAACAGGTGCAGGAAGGGAAGAGCAAACCCAGCTCCCTAAGAGCACCTGCCAAGGCTGCTCCCGGGTTTCCAAGAGCCCTTCCCCACCATTTCCACGGTCCCATTAGGCAAACAATGCTGGAATGAAGCATCTCCCAACACCACACTCTTTTTTTGTGTGCCCAGAAGCCAGCTTATCCTGCTTGCAACCAGGGAAGGCATCAGATATCAGAGGGAGCTTTCAGGGGCCTTCCATATAGGAAAAATGAGGAAGTAGGCCGTTCCCCCACCCCCCACCCCTCCAGCAAATGTATGGCCCCTGTTTAGCACCTTTTATATACTTAGGTTAGACAAGAGAGAAGAGGGAGGGGAGGGAGAAAATAGGAAATATCTTGGAGATTGTTGAAATGCAAATAACAAGCAAGGGAAATAGAGAGGAGGGTTTGGCCACTGGCTGCCTTGTATTAGACTGCAATGCTCACAAGCCCTTTCAATACAATAACCCCCCCACCCCCCACATTGTGTATGTGTGTGCTTGGAATGACTCAAGGCTGATTCACACGATGGAGCGCCTGCTGAGCTGGCTTCAGGGCGTCTGTGTCCAAACGAAATAGGCATGATGATGTGGCTGTGGAATCACTTCCCCAGGACCGCTCCAAAACTTATGTAAACTAACAAAACAATGGTCGGAATAGTAACTAGGTAGCTGCTTTAGAATGGCACTATGTACAGGAATACCGACTGAATCAACCCAATTTTTTACGCTTGCAGAACATCTAGGACCATCATCACATGGCCTGAAAAATGGGCTAAAAACCAGGTAATATAGGTACGAAGAAAAATGCCATTGACGTATAAACCTAAACCTAGATTTGCTTACAAAGATATCCTAGGTTTGTAGGATACCTTTTATCCATGGTTATGTGGACTTAAGCCACATATTAAACTTTAAATTAATTGAATTTTGTTACACACTGCTATAATGGGGTTGGCCAGGTTTGGGGCTCTCTGTGCTCTGTAAACATAACCAGTCAATACAAAAAGGGAGTCCAAAATCAATTAAATCAAGAGGTTGCAAGTATTAAGCCCCCAAAAGGTGGATTTGGGGCAAATCTGTTTTTAAAAGGTCTTAATTAAGACAGCAATGTTTCTTTCCAGAGAAACACCCTTTGGAGACCCTTATCTCCTCTGATAAGCTAACAGGCAGTGTTGACGTGAATCAGGTTACAAGCAAGGTAGGGAGGACTGGGGCTAGAGAAAAGATAAGAGAGGAAGATAACAAGGACCAGAGACACAAACAGAAGAATTCAGCTTTACCAGTGTGCGTTCTGATGTGGCCCTGCAGGAGCCATGGCCTTGAGAATGCTTTGCCGCAGATCTTACACACACAGGGCAAGGTATGGCTTCGGATGTGCATCTTGAGAGCCCCCAAGCTCACATATTCCTTTTCGCAATATTTGCAGCTGAAAGATTTCCTGGTCTGGGAATCACAATGCAACTGTCTGTGCTTGGAAAGGCCAGCAAAAGTTGAGTAGGATTTGCTGCACTGGCTGCAGTGGAATTTCTCGGCTTCGGTGGCAGAGGAGGCTGGGCTGGGCGGGTCAGAGCTGGTCTTGCCATCTTCCTCTTCACTCGACAAGGAGGTCAGGTCCAGGGGTTTGGCATCGGGGCTGGGTGGAGAAGCTGCACTTTTCTTGTACTCCGATTCCGAGTTGAAGAAGTTAGAGAACAGCCCTGTGTCCCAGACTAGCGGAGGATAGTAAGAACCAGCACTCAAGAGATCTGGTTGAGGGATGACAGACAAGGGATATTTGTCGTACAAAAACGGGGAGACGATCACTGCAAAAAAAAAAAAAGAGACCAAAGGCAAGCTATTAGAGAAAAAAATCCTGCAGAACTGGACACAACCCTCCCCAGCTTCTTTTGAGATCCATCCACGTTTGACATGCTCAAGGAGCCCTTGAATAAGTTATCTGGGCATATGCAAAGGGCCAGAAATCTGATGAACAAAATCTTAAAAACATCCTTTGGGATTGAAATTAGCCACAGAGGGGTCGTCAAAATAGCCAAAAGCTACAGCACCCACCATCACTTCTTGGAAGGACCGGAAAGCTTTTCCCTGGATTCAGGCAGGGTTTATAAAGAATCCGTGGCAAAAAGGCTGATGGGACTTGGGAGTTTTTTGCATTTCCAAGTCAAAAGCAGCTGGTTTATATAGAAAAAGCATTCCGTTGCAGAGCTCTTCGAGTTCAAAGGGGTTTTAGTCCCTCATTTACTACTTGTGGGAGCTTGTCTCCCGAGCCCGAGCCCGAGCCCGACTGGATGGCACCTAACTAACCTAAAAATCCGGATTACCTCTTCCCTAATTGCTAGGTTAAGTAGCCGCCGCGCTCCGCGTCCTCCGCAAGGGGACGGTCCCACATGTTTCTCCTCCCAAGTTATTAGCGGGAAACTTTCAGCCCGAGCCCGTTGCGCTGAATCCGGCATCCATCCACCCACCCACCCACCCAAGGCAGTCCCCGACGGGCCGTTTAAGTTAGCCAGTCCTCTCTCCCAATTCGCCCCCTAGGCACTGCCGCAGCCCACATAGCAGCGCCGCCCGCCCACTCTTTTCCCGGGCGCACCGCTTACCCGTCTGGCTTTCCAATTCGCTGTAATTGGGCTTCTTGCTGGCCGAAAAGTGTTTCTTGACGAGGAAGGAACGGGGCATCTTTGCGGCTCCGAGGCGAAGGCGAACTGCGGAAAAGACCCCACTGCAGTTCGCGCCGCTCGCCGCCTTTTCGCCTTTTCTCCAATAAAGCCGGATCCTCCCCTCCGTCGCTCGCCAGCCCGATGCGATGTAAGCAATTGGAAGCGGCTCAGCCACGAGCTTAATATGGGCCGGGCGGCAGGTGGGCGAGGCCGATCCGCCTCCCCTCCTCCTCCTCCCCGTGTCACTTGGCAGCCAATCCGACCAAGGCGGGGAGGGGTCCCAGCTGCGAGCCTCTTTCTCAAGCAGGTGCTGCCCGCAAACAAAACCCACCGGCGGGGCTTCGAGGGCTCGTCTGAGCGGGCTCTCGACAAAAGGTTGCGTGCGTGGGTGGGTCGGTGAGGGAAGCCACGCCTGAAGGTCTGGCCACGTATATAAACCTTCAGACGGAGCGGGGAGAAGAACCGGTCTGTGGGTCGGGTCGGGAAAGTGAGGGCGACCGACCTTGCGTGAAAAGGGGGTTAGGATCAGCGTTGCGTGTTGCATTCCCCCTCCGCCACGTCTATCATACGTGTCTTAAATCAGGGGGTCTCCAACCTTGACAACTTGAAGCCTTGGCGGACTTCAACTCCCAGAATTCCCCAGCCAGCTGGCTGGGGAATTCTGGGAGTTGAAGTCCGCCAAGGCTTCAAGTTGTCAAGGTTGGAGACCCCTGTAAACCATTCCTATCTGAGCGATTTGAGTTCACACGTGTGTCCATTCCACGGTTTGCCTTCGGAAGGAAGCCCGCGCGGTTCAATGAACTTCCCCGATCTTAAAACACGTGTAGCGCTTGTAGCTTTTCTCACCCCGGCCGCTTTCCAACTGGCGTTTGGGGGATTATTCACTCCCATAATCCCCGCCTTGCTTTTAAAGGGGCTGGGCTGCCTTCCCGTCCGGACGCACCAAAACGCTTTGCAAGTGTTCTATGAAAACTAAAAAGTCCAAGGAATCGGGGCCCTCCACCCCAAAAACCTTCATCCGCTCAAAGTCTCCTGGGAGACACCGTCCTCCTGTGAGCGGCACCCTTATTTCGGGAGCTTCCGGAGGGAGCAGGGCAGTGGTGAAATCCAATTTTTTTAAACTACCGGTTCTGTGGGCGTGGCAGGGGAAGGATACTGCAAAATCTCCATTCCCACCCAACTCCAAAGGAAGGATATTGCAAAATCCCCATTCCCTCCCTACTCTGGAGCCAGCCAGAGGTGGTATTTGCCAGTTCTCCAAACTACTCAAAATTTCTGCTACCGATTCTCCGAACTGTGCAAAATTTCCACTACCGGTTCGTCAGAACCTGCTGGATTTCACCCCTGGAACAGGGTGGGGTGGGGTGGGGTGGGATTGTCCCGAAATATGGGTAGCGCGATCATCGGGACGAAGATACGACTTTTCCTGACGCGTTTTTTTTTTGGGGGGGGGAATGGAAGGAGTGGGTCCTGCTCTCCTCCTTCTCCTCCGAGTTAAGTAACAGTAACAAGAGTTGGAAGGGACCTTGGAGGTCATCTAGTCCAACCCCCTGCTCACGCAGGAGACTTGTCCTAGGGATTCAAACCGCCCAACTGTTGACCTTTCTGATCGACAAGCCTTTGCAATGCTGGGTCAGCATTTGCTTCCAGAGAAGGAGCACCGCGGAGCGAAATCGCCGCCTCGATTCCCTAAAGAGAACCACCCCCGATCGCTCGCAAAAGGGCGATCCCGCAAGCACGTGCCGTGGTTGTCCGAAAACGGGAACCGCCCGCCGAACCGTCTTCCTGCGGGGAAACCCGCAAAGCGTTTAATCCTCTCCGTATCTTCCTTCTCCCATCTCCCCCCGGTGTGGCCATAACGGTCTTCCGTGCTAGCCCTCGCGAGTTTTTTCCCCTCTCCGGTGGGAATTGCGGACACGCGGGGTGGGCGCCCATTTCCTGGGCGGCAGGACCAGCGGATCCCCGCGAGGGGGTTGTCCGTCTGTCCCGCGATCCCGCAGATGCTTTGGGGCTGAATTGGTCGATTCTTGCTTTTTAAAGGAAGGGATCGGAGTTCTTCTCGAGCCTGATTATTCAACAGGTGTTGCAGACGCGCTTGTAAGCTAAGTTAGTGTCTAAATCCAGCCACGGTAACTAACCCGGCTCCCTTGTTCCAGTTAGGTTCTGGCCTGATGTATATTGGGAAGTCTGACACATGGTTTCTAACCGGTGGGGCACAAAATCTTGGGAAGTCTGACACATCTGTTGGGGAAAAACCTGAACAAAATGCTCGGGTGATGATTGGTGATAATTTTTCGGCTTTATTACAGTATCTGCTGTTGGTATACAGAAATTAAAGAACATATATAGAAATGATTTAGTACAGTGTTTCTCGACCTTGGTAGCTTGAAGATGGATGGACTTCAACTCCCAGAATCCCCCAGCCAGCGTTGCTGGCTGGGGGATTCTGGGAGTTGAAGTCCACCCATCTTCAAGCTACCAAGGTCGAGAAACACTGATTTAGTAGATGATTATATATGAATGAGGCCCCAGGAGCCCTGAGAAAAGATAGCTTTGCTGTTAGAATGTCTTCATTTGGCTCTCCGCAATGCCATGAGCGCCCTCTCTGGGATCCCTTCAGCAAAGCCCCCAAATCACTGTCAGAAGTGAAACGTTCAGCAGAATTAAAACAATTTTCTTATTATATTAAGGTACTTAATGCAAGATCACAGCCTCAACCCGTTTGACTTTGGACTTGTAATAAAATCAACTTTAATATCCTTCGTGTTGGCCAATTTTGTCCTGGATTTTGTTTCTGGGGTAAGAACTGATTGCTAACAAGCCACCATTCCTTCCCTAAATGCAGTATAAAGAAGATTAATTCTGCTGATGATGGACTTCCTGTTAATAGTGTTCAAGCTGATAATGTGGATATACCGATTTGGATTCTTGATGACCAAATGGTCTTTTCCATCTCTTAACATTCCATGATCTTCCAGATACTAAAATTGTTTCCCCATCAGCTTTTGTCCCTGTTATCAGTAAAGCTAGTTATTAAAATGACAATGGGGGGAGGTTAGTTTAACAGGTGGCACTATGGTTATATTAAATAGCCCAAGTTGCAAACAAAATTAGTTTGTAAACTGACATTTCAAACAAGCCAAGATAAGCAAAGAAATGCAAAGATCTCAAGTTATGCTACTGATAAACACATCAAATAACCTGCTGAGACAAGTGAACTACAGTTTTAGTTGCCAGCTTCCCTCTTTTTGTCTAAAGGATTAGACAAATTATTTGAGATTAAGATCACCAGAAGGTGTAAATGGATTGTGCAAATTAAGAGACTGCTATTGCTAACAGAGAACAAAGTTTAATTAGATTATTTTAAATGCAATCAAGTAACAAGCTTGTAAATGGATGGTGTCCACCTGAGAAGTTGCAACAGCATTACTTACCTTAGAAGGGGAACTGTAGATAAAATTATTTTCATTTGAACAAAGGAAAATGAATCTTTCAAGACATTCATAATTAGTTCCTTTAGGGGTATAGTTATATATAGTTCATAAATCTTTGGAAATAATTTTTGGATTCAGTCCTATACATGTTTTATAAGATAAATCCTATTGAATAGACATGGATAAGATTGCATAAAAAAACACCTATCCATCTTTGGTTTAATAACCTGTAAGCATATTTGCATATATCATACTTTCAATATGGGTGATGCATGTTGAGCTATTAAAATGATGAAAGAGAGAGGCAATTTAATGAATGCTGGTAGATACGACCATTAAAATAAAAAGAAGCGGTAATAATGATACAAGACCTTAATTAAACTCTTCTACATGGAACTAGAAAGGGTTTTGACTTCATCAAAAATACTAATCAGAATCAGTACAAAACAAGAGACCAAAATGAGGTATTGCATCCAAAACTGAAAAACAACAACTTGCTTCTTACAACAACTTGTGACTTGGTTCACATGTCTCACACTAAGCCATAATGTGATTTACGTAGCCTGCTCCATGCAGAACCTGGTTGTGACTTATTAAAAATTATGGTTAAGCAAAAGTTTGTCAACAGGTTTTACTCTCAAGCAAGAAAGCAACAAATGTTTCCTAAACAAAATTTCTATCCTAGAAATGAATTTTTTTTCAATTGTATGTGCACAGAATTAACATGCTACTAAAATAAATTTGGGGTTTTCACTAAATCAAAGCAATACTGGGGAAGATTGGAATGTCAATTAAACCTATTATTGACATCATCTTGCTCAAAAAGAAGAAAAAGCAAAGAATAAAATGAAAGCAAAGCATCTTTAGACAGTAGCCAAATGGTAGAATAGAATAGAATTCTTTATTGTCCAAGTGTGATTGGACACACATGGAATTTGTCTTTGGTGCATACGCTCTCGGTGTACATAAAAGAAAAGATATGCTCATCAAGAATCATAAGGTACAACACTTAATGATAGTCATAGGAAACAATCAAATCATATTAGGAAACAGTCAATATAAATCTCAAGGTAACAGTCATACAGTCATAAGTGGGAGGAGATGGGTGATAGGAATGATGAGAAGATTAATAGTAATGCAGACTTAGTAAATAGTTTGACAGTGTTGAGGGAATTATTTGTTTAGCAGAGTGATGGCATTTGGGAAAAAACTGTTCTTGTGTCTAGTTGTTCTGCTGTGCAGTGCTCTATAGCGTTGTTTTGAGAGTAGGAGTTGAAACAGTTTATGTCCAGGATGCAAGGGGTCTGTAAATATTTTCATAGCCCTCTTTTTGACTCGTGCAGTATACAGGTCCTAATGGAAGGCAGGTTGGTAGCAATTGTTTTTTCTGCAGTTCTAATTATCCTCTGAAGTCTGTGTCTGTCTTATTGGGTTGAGGAACCAAACCAGACAGTTATAGAGGGGCAGATGACAGACTCAATAATTCCTCTGTAGAACTGTATCAGCAGCTCTTTGGGCAGTTTGAGCTTTCTGAGTTGGCACAGAAAGAACATTCTTTGTTGTGCTTTTTTGATGACGTTTTTGATGTTGGGTGTCCATTTTAGGTCATGAGATATGGTAGAACCTAGATATTTGAAGGTCTCTACTGTTGATACTGTGTTGTCTAGTATTGTAAAAGGTGGTTGTATGGGAGGGTTTCTCCTAAAGTCCACCACCATT